GATCACGAGGTCAAGAGATCGAGACCATCCTGGTCAACAAGGTGAAACCCTGACTCTACTAAAAATACAAAAATTAGCTGGGCATGGTGGTGCGTGCCTGTAGTCCCAGCTACTCGGGAGGCTGAGGCAGGAGAATTGCTTGAACCCAGGAGGTGGAGGTTGCGGTGAGCTGAGATCATGCCATTGCACTCCAGTCTGGGTAACAACAGCAAAACTCCATCTAAAAAAAAAAATTGTTGCCTAGGATTAATTTGCAGACATTTTCTCTGATGTATAAAGAACACAAATTAAATGCTGAATTGAATACATATATTATTATCTCCTTTAACTCCAAAAGTTCATTGAAAATCCAAAATAAATAACATGGACACTCTTGTTTCCCTCTTGGTGTTAGTTTTTTCTGTCTCTTTTCTGAACTACTTGCTTTTCTGAATTGATCAGATGATTACAACTATCACTGCTAATAGCTATACTCACACTGGTGATTTAATATTGTCATATTTTTGTTTTAACTTCATTACAATTTGAACTAAATAATGTCAGCCTCTTCTACCTCAGGGGGTTGTGAGAAATACTGTTGATCTTTCTGTGGTTTGAAAAGCACCTGGAGCTCTTTGGAGAGAAAGTATTGAAACCATAAATATTGCAGTGCTGGCTGATGTTCAGGGGTATGTGGTGCCAGGAGTGAAAGCTCCTGTGTGTGTTTCCATTGGACAAACACAGAATGGAGACCCAAACTCTTGCAGAGCCTGGACTGGAAAATATTGCCCTGAGTTCCTGGTATCATTCACTAAATTTACAACGCATCGTCTTTGGAGATGTTTTCTCGTCCATTTATCCCCTCCAAAATTACTAGGCAACTTCATGTGCCTGGCATTTTGCTAAGATTAGACATATTGAAGGTACAATGTCTTTATGGAGCTGATGGTTTTTTAGGGTAGGAAGAAATGACAACAAATAGAAAAACAGCACAATAGAACATAGAGGGAAGACAGAGGAGGGAGTAATTAGCCTATTTTGAAATGAATAAGAAAATATGTCCTTGAAGTAGGTGGTGTCACAGAATAAGTGATATCAAAGGATAAGTGATGTCACAGGATAAGTTTTGCAGGATGAATAGCAGTTTTCTTGGAATGAAGTGGAAGGAGTCTATGAAGGCATTCCAGGAGAAGAGACAGTTGATGCAAGATCATTAAGGTGAATAATGTTCTTGGGGAAATGGGAGTATATGGCAGATTCTAGCAGGAGATGAGACTGGAGACGAAGGCAAGAAGAACATCATAAAGGATTTTGCTAAAGAACATGTGCTTTGTCCTGTAGTTGGAATAGGAAACATCTGACCCTTTTAAAGTACAGCTGTAGCCTGAGAAGTTATATATGTTAGCTATTTAGTTGGATGCAACATGGATTGCAGGGAAAGGGGACTACAATTAGAATTATTTTGACAACTATTTCAATAGTCCAGTTGAAAAAACATAGGGAAGCCTCTAATAACTACATTTCAAATTTTTATTCTGTTTGGTTTACAAACAATGTTCACTATCTTTGGGTTAATAGTCATTCTTGCTGTTGTACAGATTTCTTTGACATTGTGCTTAACTCCTACAGATGTAGTAAATGAATTCTCAGGTATTTATTAATCAGCAAATATGTATGAGCTATTATGTAAGGTTTTTCCTGAGATTAGAAGGAGTACAATAAACCATACAATGAATTACCTGGCAATCTTTTGAAACATGGTGGAGTAACAACAAACAAACAAATATTTTAGAAATTATTTTTGTCTCCAAGGAGCTCGGCATAGTTGAGAAAAGAAAGACATAGCCACAAAAATAGAAAACACAACAGTATATATTTTGCAAGTGCTGTAAGTTGTTATATCCAATTATACAAAAGTGTAGAAATAGAGAGGTAGGATTCAGCGGCTGAGAGATTACTCTGGGTAAGTCCTGGGGGAGAGGTAAGTCAAGCTGGGACTTGAGAGAGTGATAGAGCCAAAGAGAGAGTCAAAGACAGAGTTGTTTTTGTTTTATTATTAATTTTTAAATTGTAAATTGATAATTTATAATAATAAATTTATAGGGTACAAACAGGTTATAACTTATAAATACAATGTGTAATAATTAAATCAAGCTAGTTCACCTATCCATCCTCTCAAATACATTTTTGTGGTGAGAATATTTGAAATTCACTCTCTTAGTAATTTTGAAATGGGCAATACTCTATTATTTATATTCATCAAGCTGTGTGACAGAGCTCAAAAAAGGAAGAATCCTACGTCTTCTGTCTGACTGAGGTTTTGTACCCCTCTTGACCATCATTCTCCCCATTCCCCCAATTCCCAGCCAGTGTAAGCACCATTCTACCCTCTGCTTCTATGAGACAGATTTTCATTGACTCAGGCTATGTTATCAAGAAGACATTTAAGGGCCAGGCACAATGGTTCACACTTGCAATCCCAGCACTTTGGGAGGCTGAGGGGAGTGAATCACTTGAGATCAGAAGTTCTAGACCAGCCTGGTCAACATAGCGAAACCCCATCTCTACTAAAAATACAAAAATATTTAGCTGGGCATGGTGGCACTTGCCTGTAATCCCAGCTACTCTGGAGGCTGAGGCAGGAGAATTGCGTGAACCTGGGAGGCACTGGTTGCAGTGAGCTGAGATTACACCACAGCACTCTAGCCTGGGCAGCAGAGTGAGACTCCGTCTGGAAAAAAAAAAAAAAAAGACATTTAGAAGCCTGGCTCCAGGCACACGGATGGAAATCTAGATTCTAGGCTGCAAGTATAATTTGGTAAAGTTCTACAATTGTGCCTGCCTTAGGTTACATTAACCAGAAGCAGTTCCTGAGAGGAGGATAAATGTGAAAAGGACTTATAAGGAAGCGTTCCCAGGGAAACCCATCAGGGGACCCAGGTTGGAAAGTGAAGGAGAGATCCAGCAAGGGCACAGTATCCAGCGAGGTCCAGGGAAGCCTCCTGGTCAGGAAAAGCAAACTCTACCAGGGTCAGTCATTGGATCAGGGTCCCTTGGGGTGTATACATTCTCAGGCAAGGCAGGCTCCAGCCACCCAGGGCAGCACTCAACTGAGAGGGGCAGGTCTGGGCTCTTAGGGAAGAAAAGCACAGAAGCTGGGGTGCTTCAAGAAGGCAAAAAGGTCCCGGGGGGTGTCCCTGGACCCTGAGACCATCTGCTCAGTGTCCAAGTCAAGCCCGGCCCCTGCTCGACTTTTATGGAGTTCCCTGCATTGCAGAGTGTTTGGACCTTATTGCTTAGAGAAACCAAAGCGAGGATCTCATCTTTCAATTCTTCCCATTCATCATTTGACTTTTTCCCTTACAATGAACACGAATATTGTCTGAAACTCTAAGCCCTTCAAGAAATCCTAGCCTTTCTTAACTGCGGCCAGTTACAGCATGAAATATTTTACCAGGCAAAATAGAGCTCATATTCAAATTTTCAGGAGAGAGCTGCAAGGATGAATTTTTAGCTTGCTTTTCTTTAAGTGCTGTTGCTATTCCTGACTGGAGATTTTTGCAGTGGTGAGCGAGACCAGAGGACCTTGTGTTCCCCTTTCCCTACGGAAAGTGTCTTCTATTTCATAGGTCATGTCTTATGCCTGCAGAAATTATCTTCCAATTTTCAGAGCAATTTTAATTGAATAGGAATCACACTGTTAGCAATGGTGAACCTCTGATTTTCTGAGCAGTGTATTTTAAAACTTAGTTTTATAATTAATTTTATTACATCTTTTTTCAGTGGAAGTCAAAATATGTAAGTTCACATTTAGGTGTATGTAATATGTGTAGAGTACATTGTGAGGGTATGCATGCACTGTTTCTTGTTTTCCTCTTTCTAACATCATATCAGTTGGTACTTAGTCATTTTTCATGTGTCATGCATCACAAATGCTACTTACTTGTTCTCCACAAAGCCATCTGGAAATACCAAAGACATGTAATGAAGTAGATACTAAAATACATGGTCAGAAAATGTGAGAAGAGGAAGGAAGTTGAACTTGGAGTAGATGCTCTAAAGGCACAAAGTATGCCATTGAGTAGCTTAAGTTTGGAGTCCTAAATAGATTTTCTTCGGCAAATGCCCTTGTGTTTGGTGAGAGAATCTTTGACAGAACTTGCTGAGTACAGTCTGTAGTAGCTGCTTCTGAAACTCAGCTCCCTCTTCAGGTCTCTGCAGATGCCATCAGAGCCTCTATGGGAAATTTCTAAAGGCTCTGTTTGTGTTTTCATCACTTTGTTCTTTGGAGGACTTACCGTCTTTTTATGGCAATTTCCTGCTTGTGTGTACCCCTGCTAACTCAGACTGTGTTTTATTTCTACCCAGTAAGCCTTGTGGATGAATGAATGAATGTTGAATGAATAAAGGAAGGAAAAATAAGGAGGAAAAATTTCACCGCTTCTGGTTTGCAGTGCATCTTTCTGTGTGAATCTCCCACCCGTCCCGCGTTTCCACTCACTTTCCTTCTCTGCCCTCTGCCCCACGGGGCACCCACCTTGGCAGGGACAAGGATAATTTAAGGCTCTCCTCTTTCTCCTTTGCCACAACAGGTCTATTGCTGGCCACTCTCCTGTGGGAAAGATCTTCCTTGCTTTCTACGTGGAAAACAACTTAATGGACAATTTCACACTCATGTGGTGGTGCCTGCCAGGAATTGAAAATTTTATATGCGTTTTAACAAGGACAAGTACAGAAACTGATTTCTAATTATAAGAGTTAAGGCATCAGAAAATAAGCTATCTAGGAGCAGAGGCGTCCTTGGAGCGGATGTTGCCTCTGAGATCCTGCCCTGTTGCAAGGTAGAAAAGAAAACTCTGGCTATCCCTGGAGTCCCTTCTCAGGGCTGGTTCAAAAATGGCTCCCTAGGCTCCCTGCCTAGGTGAGAATGTCTCTGCCATTCACAAACTGGGTGACTTTTCTGTGACGAGTAGATGCACTAGCTTATGTAATGCATTTAATGCTAGGACTCGTTTTATTTATTTATTTTTTTAAATTATGTGAATATTTTAATGCAAAATGCTTACCACTTAAAATTAGCAAAGCTTCATTTAAATTAAAATTCCATTTAACTAAAGATGGTTAACCCCAATAAATTGTGCAGTAGTTGATTTCTGCTGTATAATGCCAGTCCTATGCCATACAATAAGAACTGCAACATTAACTGTCACTTCCTGCATTGCTCTTTTGGACCCTAAGGGATGAGGGAGAGGGGACTCAGACGCAAAACAAAGTACAACCCGAATAAACTGTGCAGCGATTCCTAATAGTTATAAACCCAATTTGACTAAGTTGTCCAAATAGATGGGGAATAACTGCAGGTATTGTTCCAGAGCCGATAAGAGGTTTTGTTTTTACACCCTGGTAAAAGTTCTATACTAGGTGAGAAGTCAGTTTAAGGATGCATGTTCAGTAAATAGTTACTACATATACACATTTACTGTCTGTAAACATTAGAAATATACGTTAGACAGAGTACCCTCACAAGTCAGGTACATTTTAAAAAAAGAAGATGAGGTAACATGAATCTCAAAGTCCACAGGAATCCTGCCTGAAGAGTTTGAACAGCTGCCTGTAATTCATTTCCAATGTGCAGGGAGATTAAGGTTTGCCAAAACTGGATTCACTGGCTTTCAGCATAGCAACTGCATCTTTCACTGCATGGTAGATAACATTCTTCACCTGTAATTTATCTTCATGATTGGTATGAGTCTGTGGCAGATATCGGAATTCCTGAGTAAGCCAGAAGTAGTATTTAACATGCTCTGGAGAAACAAAATCTTCAGCCGCTTTGATGCAGCTATACAAGTTATGAACCTGATGTGGAGCTCCTGCTGGGATAAACACCACATCGCCAAGAAACTGTACAATAGCCCAGCCTTGAACTCCATACTCTTGATGAAGACGCTTTCTTAATGATCGGCCTAAATACCAGCTTTGATCATGAATAGGATCATGGTCTGCTGGGTTTTCTTGACCTTGCTCTTCTGATACCTTTTTAATGAAATTTCCTTATCTTCTCCATGTCCTTTGCAGCATATATGTGCCACAGTGCTCCTGGCTTCTCTTTTCCTTCAATAAAGCGCTTTATTTTGAGTTCGTCAGAATCTCCATCTTGGATGGTCTTAAGGACTTCTTCCTCACACTGTCCTTTGGGAATTCCCACATAGACCATGACATTAGCTGCATCAGATACATCTAAGTGAAGATTTATTGTTCCGTATTCCCGATCTTCAGGAGTGATTAATCCATAAGCATTATACATCTTGGGACCCAGATCTGGCCGAACAAAGTAGCTTGGCAGCCTAGAGGCCAAGTTCAGTTTGCCATCTCGCCTTGTGTACTCTGGCAATGGAATGTTGGCCATCAGATCATCAAACCTGGAAGGCATCATATCTCTAAAATCTTCCCCTGGTGGCCAGTCCTTAAGTTTCAACACCATTGGTTCTTTTTCATTTTTCAAACGATTTGGAACGTCTTCAAATCCATCCCAGAAGTCTCCTACTGTGGCTCCTGTGGTGATTTCATTGGTCCTACAATTAACTAGGTCTACTTCCTGCTCACCAAACTCTTTCCTAAAGGATTCAGGTTTCCAAAGTTCAGAATTCAATTTATGATGCACTCCAGACACCATCACTGGCTGCCCTTGTTTCCAGCACTCCCTAAACACATTCCAGTTGCTCTTATTGTTGGGGTCTTGCAAGCACAGCAAGCAATTATCACAGGACAGATCTCACAGAGGCAAGTGGCCCCTGGACCTCTCTTGCATCCATTCTCCGGATCTGCATGTCAGAGGCTCCACCCTGGCGTGAACTTGGTATGGAGGCAAAGGCTTAGAGGCTGGACCAGCATTTTTGGGCAAGGACTGACCCCGGAGGGTTTTGCTCTTGACTTTGGACAGCCAAGAAACCCTCCTTCCACCCCAATACAAGGTTTTTGACATGTTATTCCTGATTAGTTCCTCTTGTGGGGCTGTATTTGGGGTGCTTTGCCTTCCCCACTGAGAGTAAGGGCCAAGGGATCGCCTCCATCCTGTCTCGCCAGTGGCTCTGTATCCTTCCTTCCTTCCTTGGCCTCTGTCCTTTGCTGACGTCCTCTTCCTTACCCAGCAGAACTCACCCTGGGGTCATGGCAGTGGGGAGGGGCCTATCCACTGCTCTTCCTAGTCCTTGGCAGCTGGCCTAGGTGGGTAGACAATGTTGGGGGCTGGTTAGGAATCTGCACTGCTTTGACTTACCTCCCCTTGTTTAATAAACACAAATGCTTGTTTCTCAAAAAAAAAAAAAAAAAGACTCATTCAAGGCTTATTATTTTGCTTTTAAAATATACTGAAAATATTTTTGAGTTTACGGGACAAAGTGCTTACTGTAGTCTCCAGGGATCATTCACTAACAGTGTATTCTCTAGTAGAGAATCATTAGAGACAGTGTTAATCTCTTGATATCCTTTTACAAACCTGCCATGCAGAAAGTCTGCATTAAATTTGTCTAACTCGGGGGGCCAATTGGTAATATTTTAGTAGAAAACCGACTAATGCTCTTGGGCCATATTATGATTTTTTTTTTTTGTTTTATGAGACCTCAGAGATGTACTGCCTATAGTTAAAATTCTTATATCCCATTAGTCAGTTATTTTTCTGGTTGAGAGAAACTGCAGAATGCCTCAAAAGTTTGACTTTTCCATGTGCTTCAGCAAACTTTATGATATTGACTATAATAAAAAGGGTCATTCTCATTGTACCATAGTGGACAGATTGAAAGTTATTTTTTAACAATTACAACTTAAACAAAAGTTATACCATGGGGACCCTCGGTTACCTTTCAGGTAGCCAATCTCAAGTTTCTGGAGCTCCATGAAGCTGCCCCTGGAGGCAGCCTGGGCTCTGAGGCTTGGGAGGCAGGTGGTCTCAGCAGTTGCTTGAGCTCATAGGTCATTTGAATCACAAACCTGCCGGGGGCCTGCATTGCAAGTCCTTTGCTGTTCGGTGCTTAGACAGGGGAATCACTCTTTCGATGAGATTCTGCAAATCTGTTAATATGGATTTTCTGGGCTGAATCCTGATTTGCCATGCAGGACATGCAGCCTAATTCTAGTCCCTTCTTTTTTTTTTTTTTTTTTTTTTTTCATTTCAACAAATGGCCTTGCCTGCCTTTCCTTCATGATGGCTTTGTTGGGTTATATTTTTATCTGTTTATTGTAACTCGTTCTTCCCACTTTATCTGTGCCTTCAGTTAAGCAATCTTTTCACTTATTTTTATCTTGTTTGGTTCTTTACCTTTTATCTGCACTTTAAATGAAAGACAGAAAATGGCAATGCGTGGGAAGCAGTGTCATGAAGACGGCAGATTTCGTGAATAGGGTGGACTTGCTGCTTCCGATGGGTGTTGGCGAGACCCAGACTGTACCCAAGATGTTGTCCTGATGGTCCTTACTCCCCATTAGTGTCCTAGAGCTGCTGGTACATAATACCAAAAGCTGGGGGACTTAACAGAAATGCGTTGTCTTGCAGTCCAAAGTCCACAGTGAAGGTGTCAGCATGATTGGTTTCATGTCAACTAATTGCATCGACTGCAGCCCTGTTTCCAAATCGGATCAGGTTGTGAGGTACTGGAGGTTAGGACTTCACATAGGAATTTTGGGGGATACAATTCTACCGGTAACATCCCCAAACTTGGCCATCTGGGAACATTGCAGCTTGTTTAGAGAAGTGCCATCCAATACTGTCATTGCTGTCTATGTTTGAAATGAATGCACGCGGGGAGTCTACAGCATAGGCAGGTGCTTGCATGGTGCCTCTGCTGATGCATTCTGGGTAAGAGGCTTCTGTTTCTATCCTGCTTGAAGCTGCCTGACAGCTCACTTTAGTGTCCACAGTGACTGCCTTTTTCACTTTTTGTCTGTCACAGCTGGAACTATGAGGGAGGCTAAGGCATCCTTGGGAAATGCTGCCTTTTGTGTCTGCTTCTCCTGTCCGCAATATGTCCTTCCACACTGCATGCCCTAGGAGCTTCAAAAGTATCATTTTTTCCACTTTCTGGACTTTGTTGCTTGCTTGTAACTGGGAATTCATGTTTCTATTTCTTTTACTTGCTTATTTTTGAGAGCTTTATCTCAGGCCACTTTAGGAGATCTCCTTAGTCATCATGCAGTCAACATTTCATTTTGCATTTATTTGGGTCACTATTAAGAGTTTGTAGAAAAGTTCTTAATTGAGCATATTCATAGTCTAGGCACAGTTGGGAATACGTGAAGCAACTACTATCATCACTTCTAATTAGCCAGTGTAATAATAGTGCTCCTGCAGATGGCTTAGGGCAATGCTGGGCTGTTTAATTTTTAGTCTATTTGAAGCATCATAAGAACAAGTTATTGTCTCGTGCTTTAGAAACCCTGGAGAGAGGTCTGATTGAGCAGGCGTTGATTTCACTTCATCCGCACCTCAGAGATGGTTGAACAAGGAGAGTAGATGGGCTCACTCAGGGATGGTGAGTGGACAGGGGAGGGCAGTGACCTCCTAAAACACACATTTTTTTTTAAGGACCAGCAGAAGAAGAGAAAGCATGAAGGAGATAGTTGAGGGAGGTCAGAAAGGGGAGAGGAGAAGCAGAAAATTACAGTGTCACAGAAGCCAAGGGGAAGAGCATTTCTAGGAGGGCTGGACCTCCAGCACTCAGGTCAAGAACAATTGGTGACATTTACAGTCTTGGTAGAAGGTGGAAACGGATGCTTGAGTGTGTTGAAACACCTATGGGAAGGGAGGAGGCAGAGCAGGATAGGAACCCACTTCTGGAATTTTGAATGAATAGGGAAGAAGAAACACAGATCGGATGGCACCAAAAGGTCCAACGTTGGTTTTCAGGAGTGGGAGAAAGAGCCTATTTAGAGGTGAGAGAGAAGAGTCCATTTAGAATTGGAGGTTAAAGATACAGGAGAGAGTTTAGAGTTTGTAGTGTTCTGGCATGAAAAATGTATGAGCTTTAAAACCAAATTAGTTTGTTGTGTTTCTGATCCTGCTCTTTGCCAGCTCAGCTCCTTGGAAAAGCTACTTCAGTATTTTTTTTTTTTTTCATCTGTGAAACAGGCACATTAATACTGATTGGATGATATTGTTAGGATTAGAAATTGGGTGTGTAAAGTACCTTTCATAAGCAGGGGCTTCAATTTTGGTTAGTTCTCTTGCTTCTCAAATCTTGTACAAACAAATATTTTTGGAGCTTTTTTAATGGAAGTTTCGAACATATACAAAAATAGAATAGTATAATCAATTCCCATGTGATCATTGTGTAGCTTCACTGACTATCGATTTTGGGTTAGTATTATTCTACATTTCTCATGCTCCGTCTTCTCCTTGATTAATTTGAAGCAAATTCCAGCTGTTACGTCATGTCATCTATAAATATTTTAGCCTGAATCTCAAAAGATGAGTTTTCTTTTTAACATAAACATGATACTGTCATTACCTTCACCCCCCAACAAAACAGCAATAATTTCTTAAAATTATTAAATGTCTACTTCGCATTTCTCCAGTACTATGAAGCTTTCCTTTTCAGGTTCTACATGTTGTTACTGTTTAATGTCTCTTACCTCTCTTTTCACCTGTAGGTTTCTTCCTTTCCCTCTCCACCTTTCATTTGTTGTCACCTTGAGTTTTTCGTGTTCCCAAGGCTTTTCCATGGTGGCATTTAATGCGTTTTTCTGCTCTTTGTAGTTCTGTAAACTGATGGTTAGATTTAGAGGCTTGATTAGCATCAGGTTTGATTGTTTTGACGAGACTATGACTTCCAAGGTAGTGTTGCAAAAACATAAATGGCATTTGAGAATTTGCAGACACTGATGATTGTTGCCTAGAGCTATCAATTCGTTTAGGGATGACTAATATTATTCTAAATCTATTTTTAATATTAGGGTTATAGATAAAAATCTCCCCCAAATCAATAAAAATACATTACACTTTGAGTGCAAAGTGAATTGTGAATTAATTTTTTCAAGTATTTAAAGTCAAAAATACAGTTGTATTTTATTAAAAAGAATTTTTTTTAAACTCTTAGGTTTGTGGATATATGTGAAGGTTTGTTACATAGGTAGACACGTGTCACAGGGGTTCATTGTACATATTATTTTATCACCCACATATTAAGCTCAGTACCCGACAGTTATCTTTTCTGCTTCTCTCCTTCCTTTCATCCTCCCCATTCAGGTAGATCCCAATGTCCGTTGTTTCCTTCTTTATGGTTGTAAGTTCTTATTTAGCTTCCACCTAAAAGTGAGAACATATGGTATTTGGTTTTTGATTTCTGCATTGGTTTGCTGAGGATAACAGCCTCCAGCTCCATCTATGTTCCCACAAAACATCTCATTCGTTTTTATGGCTGCATAGTATTCAATGATGTATATGAAATACATTTTCTTTATCCAGTCTGTCATTGATGGACATTTAGGTTGATTCCATGTCTTTGCTATTGTGAATAGTGCTGCAGTCAGCATTCACGTACATGTGTCTTTATGCTGGAATGATTTATATTCCTCTGGGTATTTGCCCAGGAATGTGATTGCTGGGTCAAATGGTAATTCTGCTTTTATCTCTTTAAGGAATTGCCATACTGCTTTCCACAATGGTTGAGCTAATTTGCACTCCCACCAACAGTGTATAAGTGTTCCCTTTTCTCTGCAACCTCACCAGCATCTGTAATTTTTGACTTCTTAGTAACAGCCATTCTGACTGGTATGAGATGGTATCTCATTGTGGTTTTGTTTTGCAATTCTCAAATGATGAGGGACATTGAGCTTTTTGTCATATGCTTGTTGGCTATGTATATGTCTTCTTTTGAGAAGGGTCTGTTCATGTCCTTTACCCACTTTTTAATGGGATTGTTTTCCTCTTGTAAATTTGTTTAAATTCCTTATAGATGTTTGATGCTAAACCTTTGTCAGATGCATAGTTTGCAAATATTTCCTCCCATTTGTTAGGTTGGCAAATTTTTCAACCAAAAAATATTGATTGGCTTCTCTACTTTATGCCAAGCATGGTTCTAGGTGCTAAGGACAGAGTAGTGTAAAAAGGTCTAGCTATATGAAGGCTTGGGCTTATGAAGCTGACAGTAAAAAGACTAAGGCTTTTGTGAGGTTAGTGAGGGATTTTGCAGAGCTGCTCAAACTGCATGCAGAGCTGTTGAACAGTGGGGATGGTGAGGAGGACAGGTCAGTAGCCAGGGACATGCTGATGGGCAGGGACAGTGGCATGATGCGAAGAGGTACCCAGCAATGTTTGGGGTAGCCAGAGCATGAGTGGCGCCTGGAAAAGGTGATGAAGCACTGAAATAATTTCCAGCAATGATCTATGGTCAAGCCAGAGAAGCCACATACAAAATAGAGAATATTTCATCATGATATTCTACAATAAAAATCATGGAAAAACAACACAGTGTATTATTTAGTGTTTATTCTAAGTATAAATACATAGCTATATATAAGTATAAATTGGTTGTTATTATTTTTGTTTCTGTTTTATTCAAATCAAACTTTTTTCTTCCCAATTCACTGCGACATTTTGGTCTCTGTATTACGTGAATCCACTTTCCAATTCCGAGTTCATCAGGATGCCAGGGTCCTCTTGTTTGTGTGGGTTCTTCCTGGAAGTTCTTTTCGAGGTATTTTGAGCTGCCTTCCACTGCGCTGTGGAGGAGAAGCCTATCATCTGAGAAGCCATAAACAACATCGGAGGGAAGGCAGGTTCGGCCAACCTTGTAGAAGTCTTGATTTTTATATAACACCAACTAATTACTCTGTCAGGAAAGGTTGATTAGGGGCTACTCTGAGCTTCTGAACCACCTGGCTCTAGGATTGGGAAACACTTCTTTCAGCTCTAGGCTGTCTATTGAAAGGCAGGTCTGGGTCCTCACATGGAGCCTCTGCTGTAACTTCCCTGCACTTTGCTCCCCAAAGACAGCTGCATCCCCTCTAGGATTTTCCCCATTGCTTCCTGCATTGTCCTTTGCGAAAATGCAGACACTGGTATCTGTATATCTGAAGAATGAGTTTATGTGTGTATTCAATGAAAATGATTTGGGATCTTTTTCATGACTGTCATAATCTTAGCCAGAATGATTATGATCTGAAAATTTGATACTGAAGGGTTGGAGAAAGCAGCCCAGCATTACTGCATAATGCTATGAGAAGACCCCTGTTTATGCCTGAGTCAGCAGGTTCCTGGAGGCCTCTCTGAGAGCGTGGTTTTGGTTAGATAGGCAGACAAAGGAAGCTCCTGAGATTGAATGGGACAGCATCCAGAGAGAAGAAGAAGAAGAAAAACACAAAACAGTTGTGCCTGTGAGCACTGAAGACACACACCCACACTGCCTCTGACTTCCCAGGGGCCAGAGGACTCCCACAAAAGTTGATTTTGCTTTCTTTTTTTCATTTCTTTTGTGTTCTTTCGTTTCTCCATATGGCATGCTGGCATCTGATTTTATGTTGCCACTCATTTCCTCTTTTTCTCATGTCTTCCTTTCCCTGTTTTAATTTTTATTTTAATTTTTCTTTTGTTTCTTTTAAGCTTTTATTTCCCTGTTTTCCCATTTTTTATGAATTTTCTTCCTTTCCTTCTCTTTTCTCCCCTTTTCTTGTGTTGCTTTATCACTTAGAGTTGACATGTTTTCCGGGTGTGTGTTACGTGGGTAAAGTGCTACCTTTGGTCAACAGCTGTGCAGAGGAGAAACCTGGAGTGCTGTGGTTTTCTCTTTACAGCATTTTGACACATGGAACCGCATGCTGAAGATGAGAAGCTAGTTTTTGGTGCAGCTGAAACTATCGTAGACATGATATTCTAGTTTAATAGAGAGCAAATCTTACTGCACTTCAGACTTGCTTTCATTCTCGCTTTTGAAATGTGACATCTCTTTTTGTTTCTCTGTTTTCCTTTCCTTCCTTTCTTTTCCTTCCTCCTTCCTTTTCTTTTCTCTCTTCTCTCTCTCTTTGTCTCCTTCCCTCCTTCCTGTCTCTCTTTTTCTTTCTCTATTTCTTTTTTTCTTTTGTCTACATGCCAAGACGATGGTTCCTGGGCCAGCCTTGAGTGAAACTGTCACATAGTTGAAGTGACAGATGACTTTGTACTTTTTGCATTTCTCCCTTAGTGCCAGAGAGCGTTGTGACATCGTTACTGCCCAGGTCTCCCCTCTGTACTGAAACGGCAGGTCAGAATTTGTTGGCATTAGCGATGCTATCAGATGTAAGAAGGTATTCATCACTAATAAATAGATATACTTGTTACCTTGCTGGGTTGTCTTAACTTTGAGAAATACTGCAGTTTATTCTTTAGATCAGGTTCCCAAACATTTTGGTCTCAAGACCCCTTTATGCTCTTTCAAAAATTATTGAAGATTCTCAGTGACTGTTTGTTTATGTAGGTTATATCTGTCATGTTTATTGTATTTGAAGTTAATATTGAGAAAAATTTAAAACACAAGAATTTTCAAGCACACATACCACCTGCTGGCAGAGCCTCTGTAAATATCTAATGTATACTTGTGAGAGAACTGGATTGAAGATGGGGAATTTTATCTTAATATCACTAGGAAAATAGGTTTGGCCTTGCATATCCCCTAAAGGGACACAGGGATGCTGAGGGTCCCCCAAACGCACTGTAAGGACCACTGACTTAGATATGTGGTGACAATTACTGAGTACTTCGTGGTGGGAATTTCAGAAATGGTGTCAGGAATTACTGAGTACTTCCTGACTCAGGTGGGAGAATATTGGGGACTTTCATGGTACCAAGAATTGGTACCACATGTGGGGCCCTATTCTATCCATGTGTAAGACAACCCTGTGTATCTGAAGAATGAGGTCATGTGTGTATTCGATGAAAATGATTTGGAATTTTTCATGACTGTCATAATCTTAGCCAGAATGATTATAATCTGGAAATTTGATACTCAAGGTCAGTGTTGGAGACACCAGCCCAGCGTTATTGTGTAACAGTCTCCTTGGCAAATTCAGCCTCTTGATATGATCACTGCCAAGAAAAGCACCAGGGGCTTTGGCTGTGTTTCTCACTACATGGTTAACCAAGTAACACTTACAGGACTACGTGTGAACATTCATATCCTCTTTTCTATTTATCGCCCTGCCTTAAACAAAAACCCTCTTCTAAAAATGTGGTATAAAGAGGTCATTCACAATGGAGGAACCTGTGTCAGGTAACATCATTAATCATTTTGTTGGTTGGGTATCTTCCAGTTGGGCGTCCCAAAATTTGACAACCTGTGTCTAATCATTTACTTCTTCTTTTCAGATAGTTTTGAGACAGCTGTGCCACCAAATAGCCACATCGTCTCAGAACCTGGAAAAAATATCACACTCACCTGTCAGCCTCAGATGACGTGGCCTGTGCAGGAAGTGAGGTGGGAAAAGATACAGCCCCATCAGATCGACCTCTTAACCTACTGCAACTTGGTCCATGGTGGAAATTTCACCTCCAGCTTCCCAAGAGAAATAGTGAACAACTGCAGCCACGGAGTGCAGAGCTTCATCATCATCCCCAATGCCCGGACCTCAGACTCGGGGCTCTACGGCTGCCGCTTCCAGGCCAGCACAGGAGAAAACGAAACCTTCGTGATGAGATTGACCATAGCCGAGGGTGAGTACCAGACATCTTGCAGTGTCAAAAAGGGAAGAAGCCAACCCTCGTGGGTTGGTCTCTGCTTTTATTTATGGTAAACATGTCCATTTAATGTGCATAGTCAACATTTTTTTAAATGGCTGAATTTAGATGAGTTGGCCATTATTATAGTATTTAGTATTTCTTTGTCTTGTGAATCCATCAATCACAGATACAGCAATAAAAATCTTTCCAATATTCTTATCTGCCACAGTGCTGAAATTTAAAAAGAAATCGGTAAAGGACTAAAAAACATATGGTATTGCCAGCCTGCATGTTTCACCTGCTGAACTCCTGTCTTCCCACTTACAGGAACGTTTTCGATGGTGGTGATAAGGTGTTAGAATCCCCATGAACCCCAGCAATAACAAGACACTCCTAGGCTGGTACAGCTGAATCAGGGCTGCGTTGAGTGGAAGTCAACAGGTGTTTGAGAATGTGGTTGCAAGTTTGGCAGACTGGATTCGTTTTTTCTCTCAGTCTTTTTCAGATGTGGATGCAGAAACAGACTGATGTTACATCTTAACATTACTAGGAAAATAGGTTTGACCTTGCAGATCCTCGGAAGGGACACAGGGATCCCCAGGCCCTCCAAACATGCTATAGGAACCACTGACTTGGATATTTGGTGACATTTGCTGAGTATAGTCTTTGTGCTGGTGAAATTGGCCTTTGGGGCTCTCACCCGAGCAGGCCCCCTCTGCACTATTTGTGTATTAGGCATTTGTCTCTTTTGTCACAATGAAGCCCTAAATTTTGTTTCAGGACCTGCAAAACCTAGACCCACTTTGTATGAGTGTGAGGAAAAAGTGATGTTTTGTTTTGTTTTGTTTTTTACTGTCAGAAGTGCTAATATAGAGAGGCCCATGTAGAAGCCTGTATTACAGTTGAGAGGAAGCAAGGCCATCCAGGCTCCCTCAGCTCCACCTCTTCCTCACTGTCAGGACGTGGAAGAGAAAAGAATTTATGTTTGCCTTTCACTTTGCTCCCCCTTCCTTCCTTCCCTCCCCTTCCTTCCTTCCACCTGAGCAGGCCCCGTCCAAGACACAGCACTGTTTGTGTATTAGGCATTTGTCTCTTTCATCACAATGAAGCCCTAAATTGTGTAAGATTCAGGCCCCACAAAACCTGGATCCACTTTGTATGAGTGTGAGAAAAAGTGATTTTTTGTTTTTTTCGCTTATGGAAGTATAAATATAGAGGCCCATGTAGAGTTCTGTGTAGGGGCCTGTACTCCAGTTCCCTCCTTCCCTTTCTCCCACCCTCCCCTCCTTCTTTCCTTCCCTTCCTTCATTCTCTAACTCTGTTCCCTTCCCTTTTCTTTTCTTCCCTCCCCCCTCCGTTCCACATGTTTTCAGCCAGCCAATTTACCTTGACTTTTAGAGCGAAGGCTTGCTAGGCTTTGGCGGTCCCTTTGTAGACTCTGCTTATGTTACAGACTGGTATTTCTTCCTGTGTTGAAAATGCAGAAGAAAAGGTTTTGTGTAAATGGAAGCCTCCACTACAGCTCTGTGTATAATAAGGAGAGCATTTTCAGTAGATAGCATCTTTTTATACACAATCACCTTGGACCACATCAAGCTTCCCTTGTTGTTCTTAAAGGGGTAGGGACCATGGTGAGACATACATTGGACTCATTGGACTTAGAATTTAATGAAAATGAGTGGTTGGTGAAATATTTGGGGGAAGAAGAATTAGCAGAGACTCCACATCTTAAATGTTGACTCTGTTCCTTCAGACACAGACAAAAAGTATTTCTTACCTAAAAAAACCTTGTATTACAGAAGTATTTGTTGAAACTGGTCAGGAAAAATAAATAGTGAAAGCAGATACTGACCCTTTTTTAGGGACCAAGACAAGAAACTATTCTATTTAGAAAAATGTCATGAAGGATCATTTTCAAATACATACAAGATCTTGTCCATTATATGCTGAAAAGGTAATTGTAAACATCTTAAATTATAGAGAAAATGAAGATAACAGATTTTAGAGAGATTTAGGTAACAGATTTTAAATATGGTTGAATAACCATATTTAACTCTTACTAATAAGTAAAAATGTCATTCATCTGTCCAAAGATGACTAAGTTTCTTTCACAAAACTATTTATTTGTATGTAAATTATAAACAATGTCAAAATCTGCCAGTGAAATGAAGATGACTAAATGTAACGGTCAGTATTGTTAGTGTACGTGTGTTTTGAACAGTTGCTTTTTCACATTCAGTTGACAAATTGAAAGAATGTCAACTGAACCTTGTATCCAACTGGACCTATTAAAAAGTTTTCATTGACAGAAGATGACAGCCATTAACTGTGTGTTTCTGTTTAATTCCTTTTTTCAGTTTTAATAACTGAAAGATTGAATATAACAAAATAGTTGCAAAGCAAAACTGATCATTTGTGTTTTCTCTGGTGCAATTTGATTATTTCAAGACTTGAGGCTCTTTGGTCAAAAATCAATGTGGAGATTAAAGCAGAGAAACAGATATAAGAAGATGTGGAACAGATTTAATTTATTTCAACTGTCAAGGGAAAGGTGATTGTGGCAGATTTTATAAATTGATGTACATACTTTTGTTAGTTCTCAACAACTTCTTTTATATCACATAGTGTTGGATCCAAAAGAGAGGTTTTTAGTACTCTCATATTTATATGCACGAACACACACAGAGGGGCTCTTCCCCTGAGTCCTACCCGCCTGCATTCATCTTCAGACAAGTACTAGGCCACTCAGCAGACGACCTCTGCCAACCAAAAGGTCAGGTATCCAGGCCTTGTTTGGTTTTGAACAGAGGAGAAAATGGCAGAAGCAAGAGCTGAACTCAAATTTGCTATTGACTTTTTTGCTGAATTAAAAGAAAGATCTTTTTCCTGCACTTTGCACTTATGACCTAAAATGTAGAATAAAATAGTTTCAGACTGACGTTTCTGAATTTAAAATTTGCCTGGACTGATGAGCAAGGCAGAGGAATACGTGCTTATTGACAGTGACTACAGTTATTTTTGTTCCTTAATATCCTCTGGATCTTTATTTGTCATAAGTGTTTTAGGTGCCACTGAAAGAATTTGTCCAGTCTTTTAATATTAGTTAAATGATGTGCAGACTACTGTTGTTTAAACTAAGCTTATCGATTATAAAAGAATGAAGACAAAAGAAATAAAATCAGTTCTACTTTTACACTGTTGGTGGGAGTGTAAATCAGTTCAAACATTGTGGAAGACAGTGTGGCAATTCCTCAAGGATCTAGAAATAGAAATACCATTTGACCCAGCAATTCTGATACTGGGTATCTACCCAAAGGATTATAAATTGTTCTACTCTAAGACACATGCACACATATGTTCATTGCAGCACTGTTTACAATAGCAAAGACCTGGAACCAACCCAAATGCCCATCAGTGATAGACTGGATAAAGAAAATGTGGCACATACACATCATGGAATACTATGCAGCCATAAAAAAGGATGTCCTTTGCAGGGACATGGATGAATCTGGAAACCATCATTCTCAGCAAACTGACACAAGAACAGAAAACCAAACATGGCATGTTCTCACTCATAGATGGGTGTTGAACAATGAGAACACATGGACACAGGGAGGGGAATATTACACACTGGCGTCTGTTGGGGATTGGGGGGCTAGGGGAGAGATAGCAGGGGGTAAGGAGGTTGGGAGGGATAACACTGGGAGAAATGCCTGATGTAGGTGATGGGGGTGGTGGAGGCAGCAAACCACCATGGCATGTGTATACCTATGTAACAATCCTGCAAGATCTGCACATGTACCCCAGAACTTAAAGTATAATAATAATTAAAAAAAAGAAATAAAATCAGTTCTTCCAGAAAGTTTCTGGGGGAGGCTAACATTGAACAAACTTCTGTTTGCCTTTGAAAAGTATAATTACTCGTGTCCTTGTATGATTGTCTTCCACCAATGAGACCACTCAGGCAGGGTCATCAAGGTTCAAATGAGGCATTAATGATTAGAGCTGAGAAATGAGGGTGAAACAGGTTATGAAGAGTAACCCCAAATATGCAGGGGAGATGGTGTATGGGTGACTGCAGTCAAATGACTAGGTTGGTATGGAGAGTCTAAGTTTTGTATTAATATGGAATGAGGTAGGCTAAATTAAGTGTTGACAGTGAAAACCTGCATCTCATATAATTGTCAAGCAAAGCCATTGCTGGTTCTTGAGCAAAGAGGGCAAAACAACAATCAAGAAATAATAAGTTGTTTTACAGTTTTCAGTGTGCAAGTCTTTAATATTTTTCGTTAAGTTTATTCCTAAGTATTTTATTTTTTTATTGTTATTGGGAAGGGGATTTTTAAAATTCCTGTTTTGGATAGTTTGTTGTTTGTGTACAGAAACCTAACTGATTTTTATATGTTGATTTTGTATCCTACCTCTTAACTGAATTTATTTATTGTTCAAACAGGATTTTTGTGGCATTTTTAGGGTTTTAAACATATATAATTATGTCATCGGCAAACAGAGATAATATTGCATTTTCCTTTCTGATTTGAATGCTTTTGTTTTCTTTTTCTTGCTTAATGGCTCTGGTTAAGACTTCTTGTACTATGTTGAGCACAGGTGTTTAAAGTGACCACCTTTGTTCCTGATCTTAAAGCAAAATTTTTCGGTTTTACATGATTCACTCCGATGTTAGCTGTGGCCTTTTAACAGATGGCCTTTATTGTGTTGGGGTAAGTTCCTTCTGTCCCTAATTTGTTGAAAGTTTTTATCACACAAGGATGTTGAATTTGTCAAATGCTTTTTATGCTCCATTGTGATGATCGTGCAGCCTTTTTGTAGCATTTTGTTAATGTGGTGTATTATATTGATTGATTTACCTATGTTGAACCATCCTTGCATCCCAGGGATATATCTGACCCAATTAGAATCTACAGTCCATTTAATGTGATGGTGAATTTAGTTTGCTAATATTTTTGTTGAGGATTTTTTCATCTGTGTTCATT